AGTTACCAAAATTGGAGCTTATATAGCGCCAAGAAGGTTTACCTGGAGTTTACCTGGAGAGAGTTTCCGGGGTCAACGCCCCGCGGCCCGGTCGCCTGTTTTTTGGGAAAAACCCAAGGGGGGGGGGCCCCCCCTCCTGGTGATCAGCGCCTGAACAACCAGGCTGTATGCTGTGCTGCTGCACGCAAACCAACGTACGAGCCACACCCGGCTGAATCAGGAAACTGTCTTTGGTGCTTGTCCAGTGGCCAGCTTGAACTGCCAGGTCTGTTGGTAATCCCCCTTAATGTGGTGCTGGGAGCATTTAACGGTCTCGGGCCCCTGACACTTAATGTATGGTCTCTTACGTGCTAGTGACACCCCTGCTTTTCATTGGGGGGATGTGCTCGTCTGCCAAGTCTTTTGCTTTCGTAGTGAGTGGATTTTCGGGTGCAAGTTTTGGTACTATCCCTCTAGGATTTTTTCCTGGTGTATATAATCATGGGTATCTCTCCCCTCTGCGTTCCAGGGAAATACGGTTTAGAAACCTCAAGCGCTCCCAGTAATTGAGGTGTTTATCTCCGTTAATGCGCGCGCGTTAAGATCTGTACATTTTCTAGGTCGGCAATTTCACCTGCCTTGAAAGTGCTGTTAGAGTGCAGCGATATTCAGCCTAGAATAGAACAAGTGACCTGAAGAGTGGTCATCATGGGCTTGGCCTCCCTATTTTGAAGGTTCTCATTATCCATCCTGTCATTTTTCTAGGCAGATGCGATTGATACAATGTTAAGGTCCTTGAAGGTGAGATCCTCCGACATACACTCCTAGGGTCCCCTTTGACGTTGGTGTTTCGCTCTAGTTTGTGGGCTAGAAATTTGTTTTGTACTCTGATGATGATTTAATTTCCTCATGTTTACCAGATCTGAAGTAAATTGGAAATTTCTCATCGTTGAACTCATATAGTTTTTCTGCAGCCCACTGCAAGATTTGGTTGATGTCCGCCTGGAGCCTTGCAGTGTCCTGCAATGGGAAGACACTGTCATGCAGATTCGGTGTCATCGGCAAAGGAAGACACGGTGCTGTGGCTGACATATCCTTGTCTATGTCCCGGGAGATGAGGTGAGGAACAATATGGGAGCTAGTACTGTGCCTTGGGACAGAAGCTTGTCACCGAAGCTTCCTCGGACTTTACTCCTGTTTGACGACTACCTCTGTGTTCCGTGTTTAGTGATGAATTATAGATCCATCGACCAACTTTTTCCTGGTTAATCTTTAGCGCGCATTTTGTGCGCTATTACGCCATGGTCACACTTGTCCCGAGAGGCTTTTGCAAAGTCCTGTATATATTACATCTGCATTCTTTTGTCTTCTAGTGCATTTAGAACCTTGTCGAGTGATCCAGTTTGAGACAGACAGGAGCGACCTGTTCTATAAACCCATGTTGCCCTGGGTTGTGTAACGATGGTTTCTAGATGGGTGGTGATCTGCTTCTAGACCCTTTCAAAGATTTTATGATATGGGATGTTAAGTGCTATTGGTCCTGTAGTTCTTTGCAGTTTGCATTACCTGGCCCACTTTGTGGAAGTGGGGCTATGTCGGTTGTTATTAGTAACTGAGGGGACGACCTCCCGTGTCCATGCTCCCTCTTCCATAGGGATGGAACAGGCTCGTGAAGGGGCTTCTTGCAGTCTTGATGAACACAGAGTTTCCATGAGTCTGGCCCTGGGCAGAGTGCATTGGCAAGTCCATTTATCGCCTGTTCGAAGTCATTTGCGTCCAGGATAACATCGATAGGCTTGTGTTATCAAATTTTGTGGCTCTCTCATAAAAATTCATTTGGTCTTCGACACTCAGTCTGGGTTAGCGGCTTGCTAATAACTGAGTCCATATTGGGACTTGAGTAGCTCACTCATTTCCACTTGCTTGTCATCTGTGTAGGACCCATCTTGTTTAAGTAGGGGCCCATACTGGACGTTGTTCTCGATTTTGATTTGGCATAGTAGAAAAATACTTTGGTTTCTTCGAATTCAATTTAGGCTTTTAGTTCTTCCCGCGATCCTGACTCCTAAAGATTCGTTTAGCTTAGTTCGATTGCTGCTATTTCTCTGACCATTGTCTCCCGCGCATTTCAGATATATGACCTCTTTTAGCCGCTCTGTTTTTCTATTCCGTCGCCTGTTAAGAGGGAGTAGCGCTGTCTCTTTCTATATACATCTACTCCTCCTTTTTCTTAGAGTAATAAGCTTGTGCATACATCGAGTGCCACCGAGTTAAATCTGTCCTAGGCATAAGTTTTGTTCTGTGTTGCTTAGTATATCGTTCCCAGCTATATCGGTTAGGACTTGGTTTTACTTGTCCCACTTTATGTTTTTGTTATTGAAGTTTGAATTTGGTGAATGCTCCCACATGACTAGTCTCATTTTTGCGGTCTGGGGCTCCATGCCCCAGTGCACAAGAAGAGGTAAGAACTCAGATGATTGTGAGGTCAGGTTCCCTACTCAATCCAGCCGTCTCACTAGTGAGGTTGTCCGAAGTTGGATTGCAGGTATGTACCAAGATACCCTTGTGTTGAAGTGTCTTCTCTTCTTCAACTTTTCCTGTACTCGAACTGAATGAAGCCTCCTGTGTAGGCGAAACGTTTCGAAATAAAGATACCAACTGATGCAATATGTTGTCATACCTAACAGAAACTCCTAAATCTTTTTTGCAATCCGTAAATTATGATCTACTTATTTAGTTTATAGTGGCATGGTTATTGTCCTGTCCAAATTTAGAACTTTGCATTTGACATATTAAACTGCATCTGCCACTTCTCCGACCACTGCATCAGTCTAATTCAAATCTTCCTGGAGTGCCTCGAATGTCCTCGTCAGAATGAATTCGACGGCCTTATTTTGGTGTCATCGCAAACATGCCGATGTCGCCTCTTTATTCCCTCATCTATGTCCGTTTATGTAGATTGAGAACAGCAGGGGGCCCAACACAGACCCCTGTGGAACAGCACGCTCGTGACGCTTCCCACACTCTGATTCTCCCCATTTATCAAACTCTCTGCTGCCTGTTAGTTAAGACACCTATGCAACAGTTTTTTATTATCTATCTTATTCGAAACGTTTCGTGCCTACACATTAGGCTTCTTCAGTCGATTACAGAAAAGTTGAAGAAGCAGAAGATGCTTGAAGACGATGTAATCAGTCCATCACCCTTAAAAAGTTTTGAGGTGGACAGTCCCTCAGTCTGGAGAAGAGCATTGTTCCTATATGAAACAATATGGAGATAAAGTGGCAGGTTGGAGCCTTATATAGCCCCAAGAATGAGACGTAGGTCACAGAAGGGGTAAGAACTCAATTTGGGGGTTAGGTCCCTCTCAAATCCAGCCTTTCTCACTAGAAAGGGGTTTGGGTTGATTGTAGGTCGTACCAAGACCCCCCTTTGGGTTGCAGTGTCTGACAGTTGAACTTTAAAAATGGTTAAAATACGACAGGTTTTTAGAAAGACACAATCAACATTTTTAGGTATGACGAATGGATATAATACCGAAAAGATAATTAAGACACATGGCAACATCTGGTATTTTTATTGTAACTTTCGCCACCGGGGCTTTATCAATACAAATTCAGGACATAATTTGAAGACAGTGAACTATGTACAAAAGATGAGGTAACAGTCCCTCAACCTAGGAGTAGGTGCGAAGAGCCCATATCTGGAGATTCGAAGCAAAAAAGGACCCGGCGCTTATATAGTAACGTCAGGTGTAGCAGACGAGGGCATATTGACTGTGGGGGGGATTCTCCATGGAAGTAGGTCCTTCCAAAGAGAGGGGGTTATTTGTAGTAGTAGTTGTCGTGTCGTGGGGGTAGTACAGTCCTCAGAATTAAGATTCCATGATGTTGCAGTGTCTGAAAATTGTGTACGAATGGTATATAATACCGACAAAGAGTTTTAAGACCCGACAGGAAGGAGCAGCGGGGACTGTACCCCAAGGGCCCAAAAAAAGGGCGCCTCCTGACCACCGCACGATCCTTCAAGCTGAGCGGTGGCGATTCAGCAGGCATTGTCAAGCCCTACGACATCGACCCCGCCCTGTCATACATTTTTGATTCCACCTCTGAAACCCAGTCCCCCTCCCATCCTCAACCCAGGAAAATTTTTTCACCTCACACATCGATCCTGAGCTAATGACCCCTTAGAAGTTCAGGGTAACAGATCGACATTGAACGGGATCCCCCCACGGGCATCCGGGAAATGAGGGGGCAGATGATGCAGCCAAGGCACAACAGACTACCACATTTTTGGGATTACTGTCCCAATCACCCTACACAGACCAAGGGGGTGGCTGCCAGAGCCACGAAACTTATGGGGGAGGTCTTAGGTGATACCCATTCAACAGGGTACCGAGCAGCACTCGGGGAGAACCCCTCCATTGATGAAGTGGCCCAGAGCGCAGTGACCGCCATCCATCGGTTTTTTTTTGGGCTTTCCCCAGCCAAGAGATGGTAGACAAGGGGGAGATGTGCCAGTACTTCAGCACGTTGTCCCGCGCCCCCAAACATTATCTTCTGGGGTGCGAAGCTACTGAGACATTCCCCAAGCAACTAGGAGTGATATTCCCCCCCAAAAGGACCCGAAGACGCGGCCAAACTAGTGTACCCCTGGGGGCAACGAACCAGACAACTGCACCCGTGAAAGACCCTTTTCCCCCCTCCTATGTCCATAGTTAGGAGTAATATGTTGTCGCTTATGAGGCACCTTAACTGACCAGAAGAGGCTTTGGGGAGCATCGTCGCTCATTTTAAAACCTTTCTCCCCCGGGAGCCGAACGGGGATCGCAAGATTGAGACCCGGCCAGGGAAAACGGCTTGGCGAACATTAAAACATACAACCAAGTTCTGTATGCCAGCCCTCATGGGGGCAAACTCGGCCAGTGACAAATTTTGCTTTGGGATCTGCAAATTTTGCTATCATTATTTTTGATCTGCGGGTAAATTATTAACGGTTTTTTTGGGGGAAGCCCGGGTTACTGAACCCAAATCTAGATGTGGGCGTACCGCTCTTTTGGCCCTTACAAACCCAACAAGGAGAAGATGGCGTCCATGATTGAGAGCAAAGTTGAGGAACGTAAGGATAATAATGAAAAGGCCGTCGACAGGGAGAAGGTAAGATCATCCATGTACATTATTAACGTCCTTAAAGCCTCTTCCTTTCAGTTTTAATGGGAGTATGGTGGTATTACTACCAGGAACTGTGTATACAGTGAGCATCATAGAAAGTTCCTTCACACGATTTTTTTTTCACAAGTTCATGTAAGATGTAGCTTTATGGTCCTAGTGGGTTTAGCGTTTGTTTTTGATTATAGTAATAATAACAACGTAAGATGTATAAGCTAAAAAGGTGCCTTGTTGCCGGTGAAGGGCTTTTGTTGCAAGGAACTTTACTAAACTTTGCCCTTTCTTTGGAATCGAAACTGAATGTTTCCTTATACTCCAGGCGCTATAAACCTCAACGGTGTGATGAATGGTTTTGAAAACCGACTAGTTGAAGAATTGAGACACTTATGCAACATAGGGGAATCTTTATTGAAGAAACGTTTTGCCACACACTGGCTTCATCAGTCCTATACAGAGCAGGAAGGTTAAAGGAGAGGAGTTTGAGGTAATCAATCCCTCAGCCTGGAGTCTATGTGTTCAGTTCATCAATCTTGTAGAAAATACAACACGGCCGTAGCAGTGGCTTATATACTGTAGTCAGGTGAGGCGGGGTCATATTGGAACCATCCACTAATGCTGTATTTTCTATAAGACTGATGGACTGAACACATCGACTCCAGGCTGAGGGACTGATTACCTCAGACTCCTCCTCCTTCCTGCTGTGTGGCGAAACGTTGCATAAGCATCTCAATTCTTCAAACCTCAATGGGTTTAGTGTTTCACCAGTTAAAATGTAAAAAAAAAAAAGGTGTTTAGTTTACACAGTTTAGAGTTTGTAGAGCCAGCTCTCCATATACATTAACGGTATATGTATATGTATTACTTATTCACATTTTATTTTTTCCAGACCTGCCCCTTATTGCTGCGAGTATTTTGTTCAAATGGGCGGCACAATAATATAACTGATTACAGAAGAGGCAACACCCCTCCAAATGAGTTGCAGATATACACATGGTGAGTTAAGGAGTCTTCTACTTGAGAAAGATGTAGAAAGTTATTATGCAGTAGAAATTTATTGAGTATTCTTGTATTATGCCCATAGTGCTCTTGTTTTTCACTTTACATTACTTCCATTTACGTCAATACTACATGACCAATGACTAATAGTTAGGAATGAGTATTTAAGGGCCATAAACCGAAGAGGAGAATACATCTCAACTTTATTAATGATAAAATAAATAATCGTAGTAATATTGAGGAAACATAAACTTAAATACCACTTTGAGTACAGGCAACAGATCCTACATTTGTTCATCTTCAACAGTGCAAAAAAAAAAAAAATCTTGAAAAATAAAGAAAAACATTGCAGTATCAGAGAAACACTAGTTCTGATTTGACCTCGAGTACAGGTAACATCTCAGTGAATCTGATCTTACATTTCCTTGCCTTCAATCCTACAAAATCATCTATCACATCATCAAAATCAATGATTTTCCCTATATAGGCCTATTTGTACTGTGTAATCCTGTAATAGGCTATATAGAAATGGAAGATTTTTCTCTTATGTTGCTGCAACACTGTTTTGTGCATTGGTGTCACCTTAAGAGGCTCTATGATGTTGCCCCTTATATGGTGTCACCTGGGGCAGCCCCCCCATCCCCACTGCATAGCTCTCAAAGATGTCTCCATTGCCTTCTCAATGCATACCTTTTTTTTTGTCTTTCATTGATACGCCTCCATTTACCCTTCCCTTTGCCACAGATGTCTTGACATCTATTCTGTGGCTTGCCTTTCATAGACCCATTGGATTTTTTTTTTTTAACAAGTCGGCCATCTCCCACCGAGGCAGGGTGACCCAAAAAGAAAGAAAATCCCCAAAAAGAAAATACTTTCATCATCATTCAACTCTTTCACCTCACTCACACATAATCACTGTTTTTGCAGAGATGCTCAGAACACAACAGCTTAGAAGCATATACGTATAAAGATACACAACATATCCCTCCAAACTGTCAATATCCCGAACCCCTCCTTTAGAGTGTAGCCATTGTACGTCCCATTTCCAGGACTCAAGTCCGGCTATATAAAAATAACCAGTTTCCCTGAATCCCTTCACTAATATTACCCTGCTCACACTCCAACAGATCATCAGGTTCCAAATACCATTTGTCTCCATTCACTCTTATCGAACACGCTCATGCACGCCTGCTGGAAGTCTAAGCCCCTCTCCCACAAAACCTCCCTTACCCCTTCCTTCCAACCTTTTCGAGGACGACCCCTACCCCGCCTTCCTTCCCCTACAGATTTAAATGCTCTCCATGTCATTCTACTTTGATCCATTCTCTCTAAATGACCAAACCACCTCAACAACCCCTCTTCAGCCCTCTGACTAATACATATGTACTTTTATTAACTCCACACTCCAAATTTTCTGCATAATATTTACACCACACATTGCCCTTAGACAGGACATTTCCACTTCCTCCAACCGCCTCCTCACTGCTACATTCACAACCCAAGCTTCACACCCATATAAGAGTGTTGGTATTACTATACTTTCATACATTCCCTTCTTTGCCTCCATAGATAATGTTTTTTGTCTCCACATATACCTCAATGCACCACTTGCCTTTTTTCCCTCATCAATTCTATGATTAACCTCATCCTTCATAAATCCATCCGCTGACACGTCAACTCCCAAGTATCAGAAAACATTCACTTCTTCCATACTCCTCCTCCCCAATTTGATATCCAATTTTTCTTTATCTAAATCATTTGATACCCTCATCACGTTACTCTTTCCTATGTTCACTTTCAACTTTCTACCTTTACACACACTCCCAAACTCGTCCACTAAACTTTGCAATTTTTCTTTAGAATCTCCTATAAGCACAGTATCATCAGCAAAAAGCAACTGTGTCAATTCCCATTTTGTATTTGATTCCCCATAATTAAATCCCACCCCTCTCCCGAACACCTTAGCATTTACTTCTTTTACAACCCCATCTATAAATATATTAAACAACCATGGTGACATTACACATCCCTGTCTAAGACCTACTTTTACCGGGAAGTAGTCTCCCTCTCTTCTACACACCCTAACGTGAGCCTCACTATCCTCGTAAAAACTCTTTACAGCATTTAGTAACTTACCACCTATTCCATATACGTACTTGCAACATCTGCCACATTGCTCCCCTATCCACTCTATCATATGCCTTTTCTAAATCCATAAATGCAATAAAAACTTCCTTACCTTTATCTAAATACTGTTCACATATATGCTTCAATGTAAACACTTGATCTACACATCCCCTACCCACTCTAAAACCTCCTTGCTCGTCCGCAATCCTACATTCTGTCTTACCTCTAATTTCGTTCAATTATAACCCTACCGTACACTTTTCTTGGTATACTCAGTAAGCTTCTATAATTTTTACAATTTCTTTTGTCCCCTTTCCCTTTATATAAAGGGACTATACATGCTCTCAGCCAATCTCTAGGTACCTTCCCCTCTTTCATACATCTATTAAGCAAAAATACCAACCACTCCAACACTGTATCATCCCCTGCTTTTAACATTTCTGTCATGATCCCGTCAGTTCCAGCTGCTTTACTCTCTTTCATTCTACGTAATACCTCACACACCTCCCCCACACTCACACCCTGTTCTTCACTCCTAAAAGATGGTATACCTCCCTGTCCAGTGCATGAAATTACCACCTCCCTTTCTTCTATGACATATAAAAGTTCCTCAAAATATTCACGCCATCTACCCAAAACTTCCATCTCTCCATCTACTAACTCCCTTACTCTGTTTTTAACTGAAAAATCCATTTGTTCCCTAGGCTTTTTTAACTTGTTTAACTCCAAAATTTTTTCTTATTTTCATTAAAATTTCTTGACAGTGCCTCTCCCACTCTATCATCTGCTCTCCTTTAGCACTCTCACCTCTCTCTTCACCTTTCTTTTGCTCTCCATATACTCTACTCTTCTTATAACACTTCTGCTTTGTAAAAATCTCTCGTAAGCTAACTTTTTCTCTTTTATCACAACCTTTACTTCATCATTCCACCAATCACTCCTCTTTTCTCCTGGACCCACCCTCCTATAACCACAAACTTCTGCCCCACATTCTAATACTGCATTTTTAAAACTATTCCAACCCTCTTCAACCCCCCTACTGCTCATACTTGCACCAGTCCACCTTTCTGCCAATAGTTGCTTATATCTCGCCCGAACTTCCTCCTCCCTTAGTTTATACACTTTCACCTCCCTCTTACTTGTTGCCATTTTCCTCTTTTCCCAACTACCTCTTACTCTAACTGTAGCTACAACTAAATAATGATCCGATATGTCATATGTCAGTTGCCCCTCTATAAACGTGTACATCCTGGAGCCTACCCATCAACTTTTTATCCACCAATACATAATCTAACAAACTACTTTCATTACGTGCTATATCATACCTTGTATATTTATTTATCCTCCTCTTCATGAAATATGTATTACTTATTACTAAACCTCTTTCTACACAGCTCAATTAAAGGCTCCCCATTTTCATTTACCCCTGGCACCCCAAATTTACCTACTACTCCCTGCACATTTTTGCCCACTTTAGCATTGAAATCTCCAACCACCAGTAGTTTCACACTTGGTTCAAAACTCCCCACGCATTCACTCAACATTTCCCAAAATCTCTCTCTCTCCTCTACACTTCTCTCTTCTCCAGGTGCATATATGCTTACTATAACCCGCTTTTTGCATCCAACCTTTATTTTACTCCACATAATCCTTGAATTAATACATTTATAGTCCCTCTTTTCCTGCCATAACTTATCCTTCAACATTATTGCTACTCCTTTAGCTCTAACTCTATTTGAAACCCTTGACCTAATCCCATTTATTCCTCTCCACTGAAACTCTCCTACCCCCTTCATCTTTGTTTCACTTAAAGCCAGGACATCCAGCTTCTTCTCATTCATAACATCCACAATCATCTCTTTCTTATCATTTGCACAACATCCACGCACATTCAGACTTCCCACTTTGACAATTTTCTTCATATTCTCTTTAGTAATTATTACAGGAAAAGGGGGGACTAGCCTATTGTTCCCGGCATTTTAGTTGACTTTTACAACACGCATGGCTTACAGAGGAAAGATTCTTATTCCACTTCCCCATGGATATAAAAGGAAAAGTAATAAGGCCAAGAACTATTAAGATAAAATCAAAGAAAACTCAGATGAGTGTGTATAAATAAACATGTACATGTATGTGTAGTGTGACCTAAGTGTAAGTAGAAGTAGCAAGACGTACCTGAAATCTTGCATGTTTATGAGACAGAAAAAAGACACCAGCAATCCTACCATCATGTAAAACAATTACAGGTTTCCGTTTTACACTCACTTGGCAGGACGGTAGTACCTCCCTGGGCGGTTGCTGTCTACCAACCTATGTAATATTATTTATTATTGCATAGGTATAGTGTATAAGCTAGCTTTTTAAATTCATGCAGATGATCAGATGATAAATTTTGTAATTAAGACATTTATTGGTGTCTCATCATAGTTTTTTTTTTTTTTTTTTTTTTAGGATGGATGCAACCTTAAAAGAAATTGGAGGTCTGATTTTGGAAGTGAACCCTGACACCAGAAGACGTGGAACAGTGTTTGAATTCCAGTTAATTTATCCAGAACTCACGAAGCCTATTCCTCGTGCAAAAGACCTAGGTTCAATAGTTATAGGGCAAAAGGGCTTTGATGATAACAAAACTCTGGCTCAAATAGGGTGAGTATTTTTATTTTAAGTATATTGTTGAATGTTGAGTAAATCTTTTATAAATATACCTTTCACTGTCCTTGTCCCCAAAATTAATATTGCTCTCAGTGTCCACAGTGAAAAAAAAAATGAAATGGTACATAATCTTCTGAAGGTAATACCAAAAGTATGAGATTTGATGGAAAACTTAGAGAATTATGCAGGAACAAATTTAGCCCATTTTTTGCCCATTTTAAGCAAATTCTGTGGCCTCATTCAGCAAAATTCTTCCCTGTTTTGCCAGTATATCTTCCATTCTAAAAACTGTGACTTCAAATATTTGTAGATATTTCTGGGTTTGATACATAGTTATGACTTCAGTTTGTCATAACTATCACTATAGCCCAAAGAAAAATATTTGCCTTCTGATGACCATGCTGCTAGAAGACTCTCAGCATGGACAGATACGGGGTATACACTGTTTTCTTCTGCCAAAGATTATCTTTTGGCTGTTATCAAGTGTGTGAAGTTTAGTAAATATTACAAAGATTAGGTGTGTGTTTAAATGGTTGTAGTGTAGTCTTTATTGATTCAGCATTTTACTCTTAAGTTGGGATTTCACTGCAGTGTCTACCATTTCAGTATTATGGCTGTTTAATATAAAGTTAGAAATGTATCAGTGTTTTGTCTTTAAAAAATTATCTGTTATCAAAGAGTAACCTAGTCATTTTTTTATTCTACAGATTTATAATAGGAGATTTTCTGGACATTGCTATTAGCAGTCCAGGCCGAGGCATTCCACAACGCCGTATGCGACCATATTAGCAAGTCAAAAGATTTTAAGGAAAAGAAAGTCCCTTTAATCTATTAAGATTTTTATACACAGTGGCAAATGAACTATTGTATGCTTGGTGCATTAGACGTTTCTTTGAAACTTGTAATGAAGCCTCTCATTTAGATACAATTTTCATACAAATTTAATTTTAGGTTTGTTTACTTAAATTTTATTAGGTCTTACCTTACATTAACAGATTAGAAATTAATAAGACAATAGAATGTTGGGTGTTCACATATTTGTCTCCATTTATCTAAATTAAGAAAACTATACTGTTGGCTAATTAAATCAAATGAATGTAATGTAAATACTGTATTAATAGTAAATGAGATTCTGTGCCACTCTTATGAAAAGCAGATCTTTAACTTTGTCTAATTATTAAGCAAGATAATCTGATTACTGGCACAATTGTATTTTGATTTTCATTACTGTATTTCATACTGATTTATTTTTCTTACATTTTGATGTACACCAACCATCCGACTTACGACCTGCTCGACATACGACGACTCGACTTACGACCGTGTTTTTTATGCCAAATTTCTGGGAAATAAACAAGTGTTTGTGTTGTACACAGTGTTTTTCCTAAACCTTACAGTATAAAATACAGTACTAACAGCATAAAAAGTAAAGTAAAACATGAAATACCAAAATAAAACAATAAAATAAAGTCATTGCAAAAATGTTATGTTGATATTCAGTAGTAAAGTTAAACTTATGTCCATTTCGACTTATGACCGGTTTCTCGGAACCGAACTCGGTCGTAAGTCAGATGGTAGGTGTATTTACTATTAATTACATTACTCCCATTCATACTGGTGTTTATTTACTTTTGTACATATGATGTAGAATTATTTTGTCTGAAATATGAAACCAATAAAAATGAATTCCTTTTGTGATCTTTCATTTCTGATATATACGTATTTGTACCAATATACAGTATATAATAATTAGGTTGGTAGACACCAACCATTCAGGGAGGTACTACCATCCTACCAAGTGAGTGTAAAAGGAAGCCTGTATTTGTTTTACATGATGGTAAGATTGCTGGTTTCTTCTTTTTCTGTTTCATAAACATACAAGATTTCAGGTACATGCATGTATACACACTCATCTGAGTTTTCTTTGATTTTTTCTTAATAGTTCTTGTTCTTACTGTTATTCCTTTCATATCCATGGGGAAGTGGAATAAGAATCTTTCCTCCGTAAGCCATGTGTGTTGTAAAAGTCAACTAAAATGCCGGGAACAATGGGCTAGTAACCCCTTTTACCATATAGCTTACTAAAGAGAAAAAGAAGAAAGCCGTCAAAGTGGGATGTTCGAATGTGCGTGGATGTTGTGCGAATGATAAGAAAGAGATGATTGTGGATGTTATGAATGAGAACCTGGATGTCCTGGCTTTAAGTGAAAGCTGAAGGGGGTGGGAGAGTTTCAGTGGGGGAGAAATAAATGGATTAGGTCAGGGGTTTCAAACAGAGTTAGAGCTAAAGAAGGAGTTTAAATACAAGGATTATGTGGTGTAAAATAAGGGTTCAATGTGGAAAGCGGGTTATAGTAAGTGTCTATGCACCTGGAGAAGAGAGAAGTGTATAGGAGAGAGATTTTGGGAAATGTTGAGTGAGTGCATGGGGAGTTTTGAACCAAGAGAATTGAGCAATGTGTAGAAAGAGGTTTGGTAATAAGTAATATATATTTTATGAAAAAGAGAGTAAATAAGTATACAGGGATATAGTATGTAATGAAAGTAGTTAGATTATGTATTGGTGGATAAAAGGTTGATGGTAGGCTTCAGGATGTACATACTCATAGAGGGGCAACAGATATATTGGATCATTGTAGCTACAATTAGAGTAAGAGGTAGATGGGACATAAGGAAAATGGCAACAGCAAGTAAGAGAGAGGTGAAAGTGTATAAACTAAGGGAGGAAGAAGTTAGGGTGAGATATAAGCAACTATTGGCAGAAAAGTGTACTAATGCAAGTATGAGTAGTGGGGGGTTAAAGAGAAAAAGGTAGCTTATGAGAGGTTTTTACAAAGCAGAAGTGTTATAAGAAGAGCAGAGTATATGGAGAGTAAAAGAAAGGTGAAGAGAGTGGTGAGAGAGTATGTCGATGAAGAAAGGGAGGCAGTAATTTCATGCACTGGTCAGGGAGGTATAACATCTTTTAGGAGTGAAGAAGAGCAGGATGTGAGTGTGGGGGAGGTATGTGAGGCATTACATAGAATGAAAGGGTGTGAAGCAGCTGGAACTGACGGGATCATGACAGAAATGTTAAAAGCAGGGGGGGATATTGTTTAATAAATGTATGAAAAGGGGAAGGTATCTAGGGACTGGCAGAGAGCATATATAGTTCCTTTATATAAAGGGAAGGTGGACAAAAGAGATTGTAAAAATTATAGGGGAATAAGTTTACTAAGTACACCAGGTAGAGTGTACGGTAGGGTTATTATTGAAAGAATTAGAGGTAAGACAGAGTAGGATTGCAGATGAACAAGGAGGCTTTAGAGTGGGTAAGGGATGTGTAGATCAAGTGTTTACACTGAAGCATATATGTGAACAGTATTTAGATAAAGGTAGGGAAAGTTTTCATTGCATTTATGGATTTAGAGAAAAAAATATGATAGATTGGATAAGGGAGCAATGTGGCAGATGTTGCAAGTGTATGGAATAGGTAGTAAGTTACTAAATGCTGTAAAAAGTTTTTATGAGGATAGCGAGGCTCAGGTAAAGGTATGTAAGAGAGAGGGAGATTACTTCCCAGTAAAAGTAGGTCTTAGACAGGGATGTGTCATGTCACCATGTTTGTTTAATATATTTATAGATGGGGTTGTAAAAGAAGCAAATGCTAGGGTGTTGGGGATAGGGGTGGGATTAAATTATGGGGAATGAAATACAAAATGGGAGTTGACACAGTTACTTTTTGCTGATGATACTGTGCTTATGGGAGATTCTAAAGAAAAGTTGCAAAGGTTAGTGGACGAGTTTGGGAGGGTGTATAAAGGTAGAAAGTTGAAAGTAAGGATAGATAAGAGTAAGGTGATGAGGGTATCAAACGATTTAGATAAAGAAAAATTGGATATCACATTGGAAGAAGTGAATGTTTTCAGATATTTGGGAGTTGATTTGTCAGCAGATGGGTTTATGAAGGATGAGGTTAATCATAGAATTGATGAAGGAAAAAGAGGTGAGTGGTGCGTTGAGGTATCTGTGGAAACAAAAAAATGTTATCTATGGAGGCAAAGAAGGGAATGTATGAAAGTATTGTGGTACCAACACTCTTATATGGGCGTGAAGCTTGGGTTGTAAATGCAGTGAGGAGGTGGGTGGAGGCAGTGGGGATGTCATGTCTAAGGGCAATGTGTGGTGTAAATATTTTGCAGAGAATTCGGAGTGTGGAAATTAGGAGAAAGTGTGGAGTTACTAAAAGTGTTAGAGAACTGAAGAGGAGTTGTTGAGGTGGTTTGGCCATTTAGAGAGAATGGATCAAAGTAGAATGACATGGAGAGCATATAAATCTGTAGGGGAAGGAAGGAGAGGTAGGGGTCATCCTTAAAAAGGTTGGAGGGAGGGGGTAAAGGAGGTTTTGTGGGTGGGGGGCTTGGACTTCCAGCAAGCATGTGTGAGCATCTTAGATAGGAGTGAATGGAGACGAATGCTTTTTTGGACCCGACGAGCTGTTGGAGTGTGAGCAGGGTAATATTTAATGAAGGGATTTAGGGAAATCAGTTAGCTGGACTTGAGTCCTAGAAATGGGAAGTACAATGCCTACACTTTAAAGGAGGGGTTTGGGATATTGACAGTTTGAAGGGACTTCTAAACTGTTGTATTTGAGTGCCTCTGCAAAGACAGTGATTATGTGTGAGGTGAAAGTGTTGAATGATGAAAGTACAGTGGTACCTTGACTTACGAGTTTAGTTCGTTCTGTGACCAAGCTCGTAACGCAATTTGCTCGTACATATATCAAATCAATTTTCCTCATTGAAATTAATTGAAATGCCATTAATCCGTTCCAGCCCCCCCAAAACACCCTAATTTTTTAGTTATGGGTTTTTAAATAAGAAAAACGTATTTATAAATAAGAAATGATTTTTGCCTTTTTTGCAAGGTCCTAGCAATGTTTTGGAAATGCTGGAGTATATATGAAACTCTTGAAGCACAGTGTAAGATGAGTGTCACTCCATTGCCAGTGGAGTGACATTTGATGATCGTGCACTGCCTTAGATTCATTTTTCTCTGTTACAAATAAATATGTCTATCTGTTTCTGTCTATTTGTCTCTCTAGCTCTGTCTTTGTTTATCTCTGTCTCTGCTATCTGTCTGTCTGTCTGCCCATGTTTCTATCTTCCTGTCCCTCTGTCTCAGAGAGAGAGAGCCACTCGTGAACCAGCAGGTATTACACACTATGCAGAGTCGGTTACGTCTGATTCCTGAACGAGTGAAAATGTGTATTACTTGCCAGTCATGCTTATTATGCCTTATATCTACAAGCATAGTATAGCACTTTGTCTGGATTTTTTGGGTTATCCTAGGTAATTTACACTATGTATAACTGTATTTATGTGTACCTGTGAGATAGAGAGATAGAGACAGATAGACAGGGACAGAGATAGATACAGACAGACAGAAGGAGATAGAGACAGCCAAAGCCGGCTGCCGGCCAGCCAGCTGGCCACCGGCCAGCCAGCCAGCCAGCCAGCCAGCCAGCCAGCCAGCCACCCAACCAGCCAGCCTGCCGAACATGTATTACACATGTTCTAGAATTGTTTCTCTTTACTTAGGGCATACATTATAGAACATTCTTGCAGGATGATACTACCAGTGGTATCAAAATTGAAAGGAAGTTAAACATTGGTTATTATCGAGGTTTTTGATATTTCCTCTCTCTCCTGCGAGTGGAGGGATATCTGAAGCTTGCTCGTAACTCGGATTTTGGCTTGGAGCTTAAAGCAGAAAATCAACTGAGTGACAGCTCGTAACTCGGAAAACTCGTAAGTTAGGGCACTCGTAAGTCAAGGTACCACTATTTCTTTTTGGGTCACCCTGTCTCAGTGGGAGATGGTCGACTTGTTGAAGAAAAAAAATATATATAATACAGTGGACTCTCGCCTAACGAACGCATCGCATAACGTTAAATTCGCCTAACAATACATTTTAACGCTAACATTTTCCCTCGGCTAACGCTAAAAAACTCGCCTAATGATATTCGTTCTCGGGTGCCAATTAACATTGTTAGGTGAAGGTCCACTGTAATTACAAAAAAAAATAATTCATGCAATAAAAGGCTATTGTAAGTTCATAATAAATGATATGGAAACAGGTTACTTGTTTGTTGTGTGTTATAAGAGATGAGTAGCCAGCACAAGAAGCAGCAAGGAAGATAATTTAATGTGTCAAAGTATCAGTACTGGTGGCATTGGCAAATTTTGATGGTGTCACCAAAACTGAGTTTTGGTTCAGCGCTGTATGACCCTTTTGGGTGTAGTGATTAGTTTTGATGGCACCAGTTTGAAGCTGAATATCAGTATTGACAAAAAATTTTTGGTATCCCATATCTCGATCCACTAAATCAAGACTGTACCTTGTATTTATGTATATGTACGTTGAATTGCATGCTGAATGGAGAGATTGGCCTAGATGAGGTTTATTAATAATGCATGAACCAACTAAAGGCTCATTCAGCAAAACCCCTCTCCTTTTTTTTTTCTTTTGAGTTGCTAGTCCATTTGCCTTATTTCCTTTTTTTCCTCTTGCCATTCTATATTGCTATATTGTGGCTTAGCGCTTCTTTTTGATAATAATAATAATAATAATAATAATATTGCTATTACCCTCTCTTCCCATAGTCATTTGTAATGAGTATTACCAATCCCCTCGCCATCTAGTTACCATGTTTCTTGCCTACCATTTTACTATTCTCACATGCTGTGCAGCCCTTACAGGTTTAGTGCTTAATTTGATTATAATATTCTCACTGTATTGTGACTATTCCCATGGCTATCCATAAGCACCATTCCCTCCCCATCTACAACAGCCATTCCCCTTCCCATCCACTGCTGCCATTCCCTTCCCCATCCATAACTGTCATTCCCATACCTATTCACAATTGCCATTCCCATCCCTATTCACAACTGCCATTCCCATCCCCATCCACAACTGCCATTCTCCTCCCCATCCACAACTGGCATTTTCCTCCTCATCCAGAAATGCCATTTCCCTCCCCATCCAGAAATACCATTCCCTTCCCTATTCACAGCTGCCTGTCACCATTTCCCTTACCATTCACATTGTTATTCTTTTCATATTGTAGCACACTTGTTACAGGCAACAGGTGTTACCTTCAAGTAATACAGGTGTGGCACTACTGGGGACTAGTGTTTGGCAGTACCAGTTCTCACATCACAACATACACAAATAGGTGAGCTTTTCTATGTATTGTATCTGATAATGTTATCCGAGTTTGTAAATTTTGCATTACTAGATAAAAGTAAAATCACATTAATAGAGACTGAACTACACATTGTGATATTGGTTTCCATGCAGTAATGTAAGAATGACTCTCTATGATTATCAAATTGTTAATGCTGGTATATCTTGCCTAAAGAAAGGTTTATATTTGTATTGGACTTTATAGGGTTCACTTTTTTGTGTATCAGACTACAGCAATGTAGCAAAAGTTAAGTCTCAGACTGGGAAATTCCATCTAGTTTTGTCCAATTTCTCACTAAAGCACTGTTAGTTATAGCCATCAGTTGGCAGACTGGTGAAGCTCCCCCTCACCCCACGAGGTGAGCTAATCCATGAACCTTATACTAAGAATAAGATGTGAGGTGGACCATGCTGGGGGCCTGAAGGTGAGCACTAGATTGGTTTGAATGAGGTATGATGTATTACTAGTGGACCCTCTTTTTCCTGGGTCCCCTGGTGCAGAAGTACGTAATTCAACAAGATGATGTGTGCAGTACAGTAGGACCCCGTATTTGAGGGGGATACATTCTGAGGATCTGCTGCAAATAGCAGCAAACCTTTATGTATACATAAGTCATTTTTTGTTTACATACATACCCATTATAAAGTTTAATTGATAAATTATGCATGATAAGTTGAGAATTATCACTTTTCACTGATGGGAAGCACTTCTTGGCTTCTCTTAGGCTCTGAAGAACTTCCACCATCATTACTTTTGCACTCTGATCCATTAAGCAGAATTAAGGGTTATTTTCGGGTCACTGTAAACTGCGGATATGAGGGTCCTGCTGTATTATAGGGTTTCTAAAGTGAGTGAGAGATTCATTAATTTGAGGAATAAACTGTACAGTGAAGAGCTAGGCAAGGTGAATATAAAATGGTACACAGTACCAACTAGTTGATAAGTAAGACACTTGTGTTAATTTTCATCTAGGTGAGGTGCTGGTCTAAAATAGGAAGAAGTGTGTTGCTGTGCAATAGAAATTGTGATGAAACATTTTTGCCTATGTTATAGTTGACATTAGGCACTATTTTTCTTTTCTTCCCCAGCTGCACAGGTGCAGTAATATGTGAAAAGCAGACTAATGTTACAGATACATTCAGTAGTAATAGCAGGAACTATGGCATGCATTCTTTACTGGAGTGGAGCTTGGCAGTTTGTCTTTGGATTCATGAGCTCCATACTCATCTCATCTTGCTCGCAGTTGTTTCTTTACACAAATTTTCTAAGTTATATACCTGTGAATGAAGCCAGTTCATCAGAAATGGAAGAAATCAGTACAAAGCTGGCAGAGGAGCACAAGTAAGTTAATACTTTATGTTATTTCAATTATAAGATTTATCTTTTTTTGTGTTTGCAAACTGCATCTCCAAATGCTGCATGTATTAGAATTAAGGAAAACTAATTCTATTGATGTGAATGATAAATGCTAAAAACAGTGTATATGCTGTTAAAATTAGTGGTGTAAAGAAAAGGGAAAATATTAAAGAATAATTTAGAATATTAATGATAGGGGGTGCTTTATGTTAATAGAAGTTTGCAATTATAATTTAAACTTGTTTGGGAATACTGTACTACCATATGTATTTCCTTGGGTCACAGTGCCTTGCCAGATATTGCCACTGAGGTAAAAGAAAAAAGGTATTGTACTGTAATCCCAAATAAATTAATAATTTATGACCAACCACTTTCCAGGACAATGACCGACAATCTAAATTTACTGGTATTATATGTGGAAAAACTTGTTGAAATCAACAAGGAAGGAGAATCTGACAGAGAGGAGGAGGATTTTTTAAATCAGATGGTAAGTTGAATTTGCTGTACTGTTCTATATTTACAAGTTATTACTAAACATTTTGCAAAGCCTAATGAATTATGAACTTTGGTATTACTTGATAGAATTCTTCCAGTTTATCATTTTTATTAAAACTGCACTTCATCTTGTGCTACTCTTTCTTCAACTTAGATTCTTTGATGCTGGTAAAGGGCTCTTGACCCAAGGAATTTAAACTACCCTTTCATTCCTCAGATCAAACCTGATTACCCTTCATTTCCCTAGGCACCCACAGGTTAGAGCTTCCCCCATGTACATAATATTGCACTGCAAATACCAAATTACTATGTTTTTAAACACACATCTGTTCCCGTAAGCCCCCATAAGTGTCAGTACCTTGGGTTAAGATAATAGGTAAAAAGAGCTGCCAGCCTTAACTCCATGTCTGAAGGGCATGGAGATCACTTGCCCTTCAGACATAGAGCTTGGATTGGTATTTCTCATTACTTACCATCTTAAACCTAGTATTGGCACTTACAAGAGCTGTTGACTGCTGTGTTTACAAAATCATCATGTTATTGAACACAGTAGTTTACAAGAGCTGTCACATGCAAAAAAAAAAAAAAAAAAAATATACAGTATTTACACAAGTATATACTGTATTATCAAATTAAGCACTAGGCCCATAAGGGTCATAATGTGCTGCGAATGTTACCTGATCATGTCATTGTGCTTCATTTTAATTAGGCTAGTGTCTTATTATTGCCATCATTAACCCTTTGACTGTCGCAGCCCCCAATCCTGAGGGGTCTCCTGGTGTCGCAAAATTTAAAAAAAAAAAATTATTTTTTCTTATGAAATGATAATCTTTTCCCGATTGTAATGACACCAAAAACACAAAATTTGATAGAAAACTGACGGAATTACGCTCTCACAAAGTTAGCGACCTTGGCGATATTTACAAATCAGCGATTTTGCTCACTTTGAGCCCTATTTTCGGCTAATTCCATTGTTCCAGTTAACCAAAGTCATAGCTATTTCTTTAGAACTCTGTTTTTTCTATCGATTGAGTACAAGAAACTGCCCATTTACCGATTTCAACTACCCAATAACGTGGTCAGAAATTTGCAATTTGGCCAATTTCATGAAAATTAAAAAATATGACAATTTCAAAATAAGGTCCAGAATGAACAATGCAGACATTCCTGGCTCTAAAATAACATTTTCTTTGTTCATCAGTCACATCTCCAGGCCCCTCTGATATTACTCTTGCTTTCTATTTTGAATTTTTATTCAAACAAAAAATAGAAGATTTACTGTTATGCAGACTACTGCAATACTGTAATAATTGTATAAATAACATCAACCCATTCATGACTGCATATTAGAATGGCTAGTTGGACATTTATTGGACAATGGCATCATTTGTTTACTTTTGAACATCGGCAAAAATCAAACATTTCCCCTACTTTGAGCTCCATTTCCAGGTTCTTTTTATAGTAAAATCAATCAAAATCACCTCTATTTCTATCAAACGAGACCAAGAAAATGAGAATACAACCATAAATACTATACAAAAATAGACCACAAATTCGGCATTTTAATTAAAAAAAATGGTCAGAGTTTTTTTTTTTTTCATTATGCACTGTGCTGCAGGATTTTTTTTTATATGGTGCACATTGACCACACAGACCCATTCTCTCACAAGTGGGCCTACCAGCTTTCTCCTGCTTTCTTTGAAGCCGCTGGAATTTATGAGCATATATACAACAAACACGGTACCTCGTAAGACGTATATATACGACTCTCTCATTACTGTAATGTTTCTCCTGCTGCTGCTGCTGTTAAAAAAATGATAACCTTTTTTTGTATTCACTCACTATTGTATTTAGGGAGATAAGTGAATCCTAGGGGTTTTGGGAATGGGAAGCAATGAAGTTTGATCCAAGGAAGTGGGAGGACAAGTCCAATTCCTTAAATCAAGAGCCCCTCACCAACATCAAATAATCATCCTTGAGGGATTACAATCAATATTAAGTTATATAGCTCGATCGCTGGCTGCACTCAGCTCACACACTGAGATCCGAGGTTCGAATCTCCTCTGGTATGACTGGAAAACATTAGGGACATATTTCCATAAGATACCTGCTGTCCCTGTTCACCCATCAGTGTAAAATGGGTACCTGGGTGTTGGTCACATCCTGGGACACAACTGACCTAATTTGCCTGAAGTGCTCAGCATAACAAAGGGCTTTCTATATAGTAGTATGTCATTGATGTCAGCTGGGCCTGTATACCTTATACATGTACTTGTAGTAAACAAAGTTTTTTTTTAACATGTTGGTTATATCCCACTGAGGTAGGATATTATTATTATTATTATTATTATTATTATTAATTATTATTACTACTATTTACATCTACTGCTACTGACTGTTAAAAATAGTAATGTTAATTAAGCTTGCCTGTTTATTTTTCATAAGAATCTTATGATGATTTCTGTTTTTCTTAGCTTCCTGTGGTGGACCAATTATTTAATGAAGCGCTGAAATTTGAAGGCTATTTGAATGAGGACTTACGGATTATTTTTCACAAAACTAAAGAACAGTACAATGCTCTTAAAGAAAATCTCCTGAAAAAGCATGAGAAGAAAAGCACAGGGCAGAGAAAGGGAGAATATATGGATAATGAAAGTGACAAAGGTGTGGAAAATGAAGACATATTCAGTTACATAGGGAATACTAAATTTAGCAACGAGCTTTAAAAATTTGTGAAACCTTGTATTTGCTATTTTGCAATTCCCCCCTCCCTACCCCAAAAAAAATTAAAATTAGAAATGTCTTGCATCTTTTACAGCCCATTAATTGTGGTAGTGGTACAGGTCGGCCATCACTAATCCGGCATCATTGGGACCTGTAGTGAGTTTGCCGAATTACAGAATGGTTAGGTTAGAATACACTTAACCTATCAAAAGAGAGACTTTCTGCACATCTTCCTCATTTTCATCACTGCTTTCTCCTCCATTGGCTTGCTGCTGTGCATTTACAACCATCTGCACAATTTCTGAGTCAGTATAATGATGAAATTTGAAATTATGCTAGCCAAAACTAGTGGCGGATTACTGATGGAACCGGATAACTGATTGCTGGATTAGTGATGGCCGACCTGTATTATTATAATCAAAACTAAGCACTAAACCCAGCAGGGTCATATAGTGCTGCATTTGGTAAAGGTAGAGTACATACATGATAACATATTGGTTTTCAAATAGTTTTCAATGTATGGAACAATCTTCAGAGTAAGGTAATTGATGCTAGGACCCTAGGTAGCTGTAAAAAGATATAGGGCAAATATATATGATTGGGAGTTCTTTTTTCCATATGTATACAACAGTTTCTGTATGACAGGAAATATGGTATATACATGTATGTATGTATGTATGTATATATATATATATATATATATATATATATATATATATACAGTGGACCCCCGGTTAACGAACTTTTTTCATTCCAGTAGTATGTTCAGGTGCCAGTACTGACCGAATTTTTTCCCATAAGGAATATTGTGAAGTAGATTAGTCCATTTCAGACCCCCAAACATACACGTACAAACGCACTTACATAAATGCACTTACATAATTGGTCGCATTTGGAGGTGATCGTTAAGCGGGGGTCCACTGTATATATATATATATATATATATATATATATATATATATATATATATATATATATATATATATATATACATATATATATATATATATATATATATATACATATATATATATATATATAGACATATATATATATATATATATAATTATAGTTGTGTTGAAAGAAAGATTAATCATAATGGTAGGGACTTCTATTTCTTGAATTTCTATATGTAATGTCTAGATTATCTTACTTCACTTTGTTTGGTCATTTATTCAGCCTTGGCCTCTAAAAGCTGAGTCATCCTGACATAGTGGTGGAAATCCCTGGATTGCACTAGGGTGATTATGTAGTGTATTCTTTGGGGGAAAGTGCTAAATTTGTAGGGATCATACAGCATCTGGAGGAAGGGGAGGCAAATCAGGCTTGATTCAAGGAAAGGGAGGATAAGTCCAATTTCTGGAATCAAATGCCCCTTACTGCCATCCTGACACCACTTCCCTCAAGGGAAGTGGTGTCAGGATGGCAGCATCCATGGCCAAAGAACCAGGATTTAATTTAAATTGTGTAAGCATCTCATTTATCAAAATACACCTACCATCCGACTTACGACCTGCTCGAAATACAACCACTTGATTTACGACCATGTTTTGTATGCCAAATTTCTGGGAAATGAACAACTGTTTGTGTTGTACAGTGTGTTTATCCTAAACCTTACAGTACTACTAACAGCATAAAAAGTAAAGTAAAAAATGAAATACCAAAATAAAACAATAAAATAAAATCATTACAAAAATGTGATGTTGATATTCAGTAGTAAGGTTCGATTTATGTCCATTTTGACTTAAGACCGGTTGGTTGGAACCAAACTTAGTCGTAAGTCGGATGGTACCTGTATATGTTCTGCATGGCCCAAATAGGTTTAGCTCATTTTCAAGAGTATAATAAATGTTCAAATTTATTATGTGGAATCTCCCTTTATTTAATTCATATTTCACACGAGTGTTTTTAAAATAATTTTTCTTTGTTTTAAATAATATGGGGTAGGAGTCGTCCTCAAAAGGGTTGGAGGGAGGGGGTAAAGGAGGTTTTGTGGGTGAGGGGCATGGACTTCCAGCAAGCGTGCATGAGCGTGTTAGATAGGAGTGAATGGAGACGAATGGTATTTGGGACCTGACGAGCTGTTGGAGTGTGGGCAGGGTAATATTTAGTGAAGGGATTCAGGGAAACCGGTTATTTTATATAGCCAGACTTGAGTCCTAGAAATGGGAAGTACAATGCCTGCACTTTAAAGGAGGGGTTTGGGATATTGGCAGTTTGGAGGGATATGTTGTGTATCTTTATACATACAGTGGACCCCCGCTTAATGATCACCTCCCAATGCGACCAATTATGTAAATGTATTTATGTAAGTGCGTTTGTACGTGTATGTTTGGGGGTCTGAAATGGACTAATCTACTTCACAATATTCCTTATGGGAACAAATTCGGTCAGTACTGGCACCTGAACATACTTCTGGAATGAAAAAATATCGTTAACCAGGGGTCCACTGTATATACAGTGGACCCCCGCATACCGTACAATCCGCATACCGGACGCTTTGATCGCAAAAATTTTGCCTCGCATATCGCCCAAAAACCCGCTCACCGCCCTTCGTCCGAGACGCGTCCAATGTGCGGCCTGAGCCACGCTCACATGTTCCGCTGGTGGCATTGTTTATCAGCCAGCCTCCGCGGTAACATCCAAGCATACAATCGGAACATTTCGTATTATTACAGTGTTTTTGGTGATTTTTTCTGGAAAATAAGTGACCATGGGCCCCAAGAAAGCTTCTAGTGCCAACCCTACAGCAATAAGGGTGAGAATTACTATAGAGATGAAGAAAAAGATCATTGATAAGTATGAAAGTGGAGTGCGTGTCTCCGAGCTGGCCAGGTTGTATAATAAACCCCAATCAACCATCGCTACTATTGGTGGTACAGCTGCTGCTGCTGCTGTCACGTCAGCTGCTGCTGCTGTGTGTACCCGTCTGCTGCTGCTGTGCATCGTCTGCTGCTGCTGTAGCATCGTCTGCTGCTGCTGTAGCATCGTCTGCTGCTGCTGTAGCATCGTCTGCTGCTGCTGTAGCATCGTCTGCTGCTGCTGTAGCATCGTCTGCTGCTGCTGTAGCATCGTCTTTGCTGCTGCAGCATCGTCTGCTGCTGCTGTAGCATCGTCTGTGCTGCTGTAGCATCGTCTGCTGCTGCTGTAGCATCGTCTGTTGCTGCTGTAGCATCGTCTGCTGCTGCTGTAGCATCGTCTGCTTGCTGCTGTAGCATCGTCTGTTGCTGCTGTAGCATCATCTGCTGCTGCTGTAGCATCGTCTGTCTGCTGTAGCATCGTCTGTTGCTGCTGTAGCATCGTCTGCTGCTGCTGTAGCATCGTCTTGCTGCTAGCTTGCTGGTAGCATCGTCTGTTGCTGCTGTAGCATCGTCTGTTCTGCTGCTGTAGCATCGTCTGTTGCTGCTGTAGCATCGTCTGTTGCTGCTGTACCACCGTCAGCTGCTGCTGCTGCTGTAGCACCATTGTTGGTGTGGCTTATTGAGAATACCAAGAAACAATTAACCCCAGAGGATTTGCCACCCCGGATAACCCAAAAAAGTCAGTGTCATCGAAGACTGTCTAACTTATTTCCATTGGGGTCCTTAATCTTGTCTCCCAGGATGCAACCCACACCAGTCGACTAACACCCAGGTGAACAGGGAAAAATGCCTGGAACTAGTGCTCATATTGGTGAATTTAAAGCCAGCAAAGGTTGGTTTGAGAGATTTAAGAAACGTAGTGGCATACACAGTGTGATAAGGCCTGTTCTGGAAGAAAATGCCAAACAGGACCTACAGTACTCAGGAGGAAAAGGCACTCCCAGGACACAGTGTCTCATCAGTCATTGCTGCATCTTCAATAAAGGTAAGTGTCATTTATTCTTCATTTAGTAGAGTAGTACATGCACAATATATATTGTGCATGTACTACGCTACTATTGTGCATGTATCCTTCTCTTTGTGTGTAGGAAAATGTATATTTCATGTGGTAAAAATTTTTTTTTCATACTTTTGGGTGTCTTGCACGGATTAATTTGATTTCCACTATTTCTTATGGGGAAAATTCATTCGCATACCGAACATTTCGCATAACAACCAGCCCTCTTGCACGGATTAAGGTCGCTATGCGGGGGTCCACTGTACTTCTAAACTGTTGTATTCTGAGCACCTCTGCAAAAACAGTGATTATGTGTGAGTGAGGTGAAAGTGTTGAATGATGATGAAAGTATTTTCTTTTTGGGGATTTTCTTTCTTTTTGGGTCACCCTGCCTCGGTGGGAGACGGCCGACTTGTTAAAAAAAAAAAATACACAAATAACCTCCACTTAGCAGACAAACTTAAGACAGTGTTGGGTAGGTTTAAAAATGTTAGAGAAGTACATTATTATTATATTCAAAACTAAGTGATAAACCCACCAGGGACCAACAAATACATGATTGGGTGTGTTTGTGTTGGTTAGACTTGCCTAGCATGGGCCGGCAGGCCTCCTGCAGTGCTTCTCCTGTCTTATGGTAGCAGTCTAAGTCAGACCAAAATGTCATAAGGTTGTCTCCTAAGTTCAGGTTATTCGAGTATGGTTTCTGCCATGGTATTGTGATATTTTATTCAAATAATATGATTGTTTGCTGTTATGACTTTACATTCTTTACAATAATTAAAAATAATTCCAAATATTGGTACTGTATAATTTAAGTACTCACCTAAGAATGTGATGAACACTAGATATGTTCTGCATACACAGCAGAGAAATAAGAAGTCATTACTATAATGTATTGGAAAATAAAACACCAAATCCATATGGACTGTCATAACTGAAGAACAGCTAGACCCATATTCTAATAATATAGGCCTCATGCAGTCTGTTTCAAACATACTGCACAGCACAAGCAGACCACCAAGGCATGCATTTCTGAGAGTGCCTACTCGAGGTTTGAGGGAATGAATGTGAAACTGCAGTTAAAATTGAGGTCAAAAATAATTGTAATAGCTCTTCAGTGGAGGACGAATAAAGTTCCTCGCTAAAAACACTTTGACACGAGTAAACGTCCCAATTCGTCCATTCAAACTGCCAACATGGTCTTCGAGGAGAGCGAGAATACGAATGGGAAGTAAGAAGGATAGGAAAATGATTGCTGTCACGTAAGTCTGGGAGCACAGACCAGGTAAAGTAAAGTGCAGTTGATGAGCAAACTGAGAGATCAATATAAATGGGGGCTAGAGCACGAGGCCTCTACTCCAGAACAACAGATATTAGAGCCAGCAAATGAAACCCCCCTAAATTCCACCAACTTAACGGCATTTGTCATACAGGGTCTACAGCCGTCAAAAAAACAACAAAATTCCTTACATCAAGGGACTGCTCACGGAGTCAAATGCAACGTTTGCAGCATTCACAGAGATCCGCATAAAGGATCATTATGACAACGAAATATGGATCCCAGGTTATAACCCATTCCAATGCGACAGACTAAACAGGCAACAAGGGGGGATGGTCTGTACATCACAGAGTCGCTCATTTGCGGAGAACAACTGAACACCTCAAGTGATGTAGTTGAAGTTTTGGTGGTAAAGACTGAAAGCCAAAACCTTGTCATTGTGGTGGTATACAAGCCTCCAGGTGCAACTTCCCAACAACTCCAGTAGCAGCTTGTGAAAATTGACCACTGTCTAGAAAATCTCCCAACTCCTGCCCCAAACATCTTACTACTAGGAGATTTCAACTTGAGACACCTAAAATAGAGGAATATAACAATGTTTTAGCAGAGATCACCCCAGGAGGCAGCTCAGATGAAAATTCACACACACACACACACACACAAACTATTAAATCTCTGCGCCAAGAGAAAATACGCTGGACTTCATCTTCACTAACAACGACGATCTGATACGTAATGTAACTGTATCAAAGACAATACACTCAGATCACAA